CGTATAAAAGGATTTATTTAATGCCTTCTGAGGCATTCAAGGGCTGGATGTTGGATATAACTAGTAAGAAGAACATTTTTTATCCATATCTTCCCTGGAAAGTTGCCGCTTCTAAGTTTTCATTGAATAAAAGGATTTATTTAATGCCTTGTGAGGCATTCAAGAGCTGGATCTTGGATATAGCTAGTAAGGAGAACATTTTTTATCCATATCTTCCGTCAAAAGTTGTTGCTTCTACCGGTAAGTTTACATTGTATAAAAGGATTTAGTTAATGCCTTCTGAGGCATTCAAGAGCTGGATCTTGGATATAACTAGTAATAAGAACATTTTTTTTTAATCCGTATCTTCCGTGGAAAGTTGTTGCTTCTTAGCTTTCATTGTATAAAAGGATTTAGAAAGGATTTAGTTTCAGCTCTGAGGCATTCAAGAGCTGGATGTTGGATATAACTAGTAAGGAGAACATTTTTTATCCATATCTTCCGTAATAAGTTGTTGCTTCCAAGTTTTCATTGTGTAACAGGATTAAGTTTCAGTTCTGGGGCATTCAAGAGCTGGATCTTGGATATAACTAGTAAGAAGAACATTTTTTATCCATATCTTCCGTAGAAAGTTGTGGCTTCTAAGGTTTCATTGTATAACAGGATTAAGTTTCAGTTCTGGGGCATTCAAGAGCTGGATCTTGGATATAACTAGTAAGAAGAACATTTTTTATCCATATCTTCCGTAGAAAGTTGCTGCTTCCAAGTTTTCATTGTATAAAAGGATTTAGAAAGGCTTTACCCGGTAGTTACAGGGCCTTCAGAGGAATTCAAGAGCTGGATCTTGGATATAACTAGTGAGAGGAACATTTTTTATCCATATCTTCCCTGGAAAGTTGTTGCTTCCTAGTTTTCATTGTATAACAGGATTTAGAAAGCATTTAGTTTCAGTTCCGAAGCAGTCAAGAGCTGGATCTCGGATATAACTAGTAAGAAGAACATTTTTTATCCTTATCTTCCTTAGAAAGATGTTGCTTATAAGTTTTCGTTGCTGCAAATGTGCAGAACTCCCTGCCTGAGGATGTTATAACATATCACGTATCTCCTCTAATTGCTTTCTTGATTGATAGTCTGACACCAATCACCATGTATCATCAATTATTTCCAATATCAAATACTTCGCAGAACCGGTGTAACGAGAAGCAAACTTCTGAATGCATGTTTGATCTCCGTTACCGTGCCGTTACCGAGGACCTTGCAACTTGGAGCCAATCACAGCTCTCGTTTACATTTTACGCAAGTATTCGAATACCGATTGATCCTGTAGTAATGGGTGCAAAATTATTTGGCAGGGAAGCAATCCTAGGAGCAAACAGGAGCTCGAATAGGATGGATACCAGGCTACACCCCTAGGCCTAGAAAAAAATGTTGTGTTTCCTGTTTCCTGACTGACCCTAGAAAAAACTTTCGACCCGAGCCTTTTTTTTGTGGATCCCTGCAAGGGACATAGATTTTTCAAGCTGATCGACCTCTTCTAGCTCCATGATATGACACCTGAGTGATGAAACATTGTACAATCAGTTTCCCAAGTTCCAACACTGACATTACAAATATAAGTGTCCTAATGCTAGTTTTATGTTGTTAAACTGTATTGTACATTATCAGATTGGATCACTAGAGATCACCTGTGAGAGTCTAAAAAAAAGAGGAAAAAGAAATAAAGATAATCCCTACCTACTGAGCCTATTTTTTTCAGGACCGAAGCAGGAAACACAACATTTTTTTCCTAGGCCCTATCTGACACCTCCTGAAAAGTTACATGTCGTATTTCCGCTCCTGAGCGCAACCTCGGAGATTTATCCCCTGCCCGAGACAGCCTGAGTCATTGTCCCTGAGAGTTAGGCCACACCAAGTAAATTTTATGGATGACGTCCACGCACGCATTGATTTCGGCCTGTTCCTAGAAAGAAAAAAAAAGAAATTCCACTTCCTGTAACTATGACCAAAGAGTCACGACAGTGCCACAAATCGTCAGATTGACGTGAAACCCGTAACGCGAGAACAGGACAGGACGACAACTGCTGTTACACCTGATTTATTGCTGTTTTGATTACGAATAAAAGACTTCTTGCTTGTTACACTGTGTCACCTCATTCAAATTGTGCCCTAACATTTGTCGTCTCTTAGTATATTTCTTATCTAGGCATCTTGTTTTTAGGGCCCTTCTTGTTTTTTTTTCGCCCTCTCGCATTAGATTTAGGGTCTCCAAAGGACGTCATCCATAAAATTTACTTGGTGTGGCCTTACCTTGAGTTACTGTAACTACCCGTACTTCAGTTCCATTACAAGTGATGTATACTATCGCGGCGTTATCTCGGAATTGCGTCAAACGGTTGAAGAATTGGGTCCGCCAGAATCCGCGGATGTTCCCCAGTGATAAGAGACTTTCTTTCTTGTTCATCCCCCGGGAGAAAAACGACGGATCGCGGGGAAGCGGCGGCGCTCTTTGAGCCGTGTGTATGCGACCGGAACGATTTCTGTCAGCGGAGTGATCACAATGGAGACTGTGGATATAAAACAGGCATTTAGGTACTGAGGTGTGATGCTTACGGCTTGGGATGATGGCACATTCTTCTCTGTGAGGCTGCTCAAATTGCCTCGTATTGCTGCTTTTTTAGACAAGTTTTAGATACATAAGCTTGCAATGGTGTCAATTGTACAACTTCTCTAACTGAAAGTGTCTGAGTTTTTTGTAGGTCCTGGGATTATTTCCTTGTACTCCTAGCTTTCTAGACAAGTTTTAGTATAATCCTGCAATGTTGTCATGTACAACTTGTCTTCTGTGACTGAAAGTGTCTCTTCAATGCATAGATAGCTGTATTTTGGGACTTTGTGAGAATTAGTTCTTGCAATGCTTTATTATTTCATTTGACATTCTTCCTACTAGAATAAACTGTTCTTGATTTGATCTTTTAAACTTGATTTCTCCCTCAGGTAGGCTTAGTATATGTTACTGTTTGTATCTTTAATGGCTTTCACTCATGTTGAAGTTGAATTCTTTGGAATTCAAGAGTTAAGTGAGAGACATAATAATATGACACTTTTTAGTATGACAAAGGCAAGGTATTCTAATTTCCCATGATTTGTTGGGAAAGCTTTTTAATCTCACACAATTCACACCGAGATGGCAAACATTTTGTATAAACCATAGCCAGAGCTTTCCAAAATTTAGCATGAAGTGTTGTCAGGTCCCCCTCATTATGGCAAACTGTAGTGCGGACCATTCCACAGGCATAACATCTGTCTATTTGACCAATTTCTTTTCTTTCCAGCTGCTTCCCAAAGCCTCAAGTAGCAGCTAGCCCATACAGCCCCATAAATGCCCTTAACTGTTGTAACAGTCTTCTGCGTTTGTCTGTATTCAGTTCAACAACTCTGTTGACACAACCCTCCCTAGCTGCAGTTTGTCAGGAAACTGTCAATCATTCCCCGTTGCTTAGCAACCACTGTTGCTTAGCAACCGGGAATTCAAAACAGCAAAGACTTTAACAATGGCACTCCAGTCTTTACTATAGTCAGGTCAATACAGCCCAGCTTCTGAAGTATTTAGTACTTTGTTCGCCACTCCTGACCGTATCAATTTTCATTGGCATCAATTCTGTAGAAAAATTGTTGGTCAACGTAACAATTCTAGTAATATGACCGAGCTTTCTAGCATATGATGCATATAACACTTTCATATTTTGTGATATGAACAATATTCTTTATAAGATTGTGGTTCTATGAGTATGAAGTGATTTGGATGCAAAGTTGTCTAATTCTATGTTGGTTGGCAGAATTTTTAGATATTATAAATTTGTAAAAAAAAGTGCTTGAACTCAATCACATATTTCGTTTGTTGCAATTATTACTATGTTCTTTCATCTATGTGCATGTACTAGGATTTTCACCCCTTTGTTGTGTGTTTTCAACGATGGACAGATTTGACATTTGCTCTGAAGTAGTTGTTGTTGATTTAAAGTGAGAGATGGCACCAAGGTCAAGCCAAGGTCACACCTGACCAAACCTTCGAACTATTTCCATCCTTTAAGAGCAGATCCCGACACAAAGACGTGTACGTGGAAGCTTTAAGAATCAAGTCCTGCCTGCGCAAACCAAATTGTGAAAAATAAGCTTTGATTTTGTGCCACTTTGATTTATTGTAGTTTGGATTGTGTCGTTAAATTAAGTTGAAGTGCGGGCTAGACTGTTAGGACAGCTGTGAGGACTGATTGTTACATGTGCAGACTCAATAAGGTTTAGTCTGGGAGCTTTTGGAGGACCTGAAAGGGGTTTTGTAAGATGCAAGATTTGTATTCAAATTGTAGTACATGTAGCTACATATATGTATGTATTTATGTAATCCAAATGTAATAGAACTAGTAAAATATGAAAAGAAAAGAAAAAAAAAGGCTTTTATCAATACACTTTTATTTTAGGATAGAAATGATTATTAGTATTGCTATTTTTTCAATCTTACATCTAATACATACTTTATAGTGCACCCAGATATTTTCCTAGGTTTACGTTATATGTAAAGATGTTAAATGTATAGTTACTGTTGTATAAAGCATATTCTTAACATCTGTCATTCTTAACAAGCGTCAAAAAGTAATAAAATTATTGTAAGTTATAGTAACATCTGTGTCCATAATATCACCAGGGTCCATAATATCGCCACCTTGAGAAACAGTGTGCTTTAAGATATTTTTACTGCAACATACTTTTGGTATGCACTCCTGCACACCTCAAATGTACATACCTAGGGTATGTTGCAGTAAAAATATCTTATAAGCACACTTTTTCTCAAAGTGGCGATATTATGGACCCTGGTGATATTATGGACACAGATGTTACCTAATTTTTTAGGTAATAGCTGCACCAATGCACCTGTTACCAAAAATGAATTTTGAGCCCTGGATGTCTGACCTTCGTTGACGTACACATAAGTTGACCGTTGGTTGTTGTTGACCTCTCGGCAGATTGTCCGGATGGGGGTACTCCATTACAGTCGAGCTGGATGATAAAGTGGACATCGTCTGTCCCAGGGTCTTCAACCGTAGCAGACAGGACCCACAATATAATACACTGTACCAGGTATGTTACAGACAGGACCCACAATACAACACACTATACCAGGTATGTTACAGACAGGACCCGCAGTACAATACACTGTACCAGGTATGTTACAGACAGGACCCACAATATAACACACTGTACCAGGTATGTTACAGACAGGACCCACAATACAACACACTATACCAGGTATGTTACAGACAGGACCCACAATACAACACACTGTACCAGGTATGTTACAGACAGGACCCACAGTACAATACACTGTACCAGGTATGTTACAGACAGGACCCACAATATAACACACTGTACCAGGTATGTTACAGACAGGACCCACAATACAACACACTGTACCAGGTATGTTAAAGAAATTGAGATACTATACAGTTTAAATTACTGTTGGTTATTATGTACACTGTTTTCACTGTCACTTCTGTACCGTGAACTTATCATTACAGTTAACAAATAATTCCTGGACTTTCTTTTTCCTGCACCTGCCGCCACCGTGAATATATAGTTCCGTGAACATGTCCATTTTTTCTCAGACCGTGAACTTTTGCTACCGTGAACATAAAGTGAATACAGCAAACTTCTCCTTGCTAAAGGCAGTACCAATATTTGTGCTAGCTACAAGGTACAAGCTAAGGCTGCAGCAGAGAGAGGGTTAAAAGTTGCTGATTGCCAAAAAGTTTTCATTCATGTTACATGAAGTGTTGTTTTTGTTGGTAGGTACAGGAGGAAGGATATGTACACGGTGATGTATCCCAGGGGAAGATGTTAAATGTAGTTGTTGTTTTTATTGTTGTTTATAGGTAGGAGGAAGGATATGTGCACTGTGATGCGTTCCAGGAGAAGATGTTAAATGTTGTTATGCAGCAAGTTTAAACAAGCATAATGACTTCTACCAACACAGATGAACTTTCAAGTTAAATGTTGTTGTTGTTATTTTTATTGTTGTCATGTTTTGTTTGTTTGTAATGTCTTGGGAAGATGTTATATGTTGTTGTTGTTTTTATTGTTGTTTACAGGTACAGGAGGACGGTTACGTGCACTGTGATGCGTCCCAGGGGAAGATGTTACTGAGATGTGACAAACCGTTTCAGGACAACAGGTTCACCATGCTGTTCCAGGAGTTCAGCCCCTCCCCCTTCGGTCTGGAGTTCAAACCAGGAAGGGACTACTACTACATATGTAAGGACCTTCTGGGACTGATAGTAATAAAGTACAAACTGTCACCAGTCACTCTGGTCTTCCTTAGTAGACTGACCCGGTGAGGCTTGTCACGTGGCTTCTTTGAAGTGTGACATCAACATTGGGTCATATTGCTCTTATCATTACTATGGTTTTAGTCCTAACATTTGTGCTTGGATCAACATGATAGTCACTATCCATAAGCAATGGCACCCACTATAAGAATTGTGATATATATTGACAAGGTATAATAGGATTAAGAGATAAGGGAATTCTTTTTACACAACCAAAGAGTCTCACCTCGCTGACGTTTCGGTGTCTCTCAGACACCTTCTTCAGAGCTTCTGACTGGAGTACTGCATCTCGCCGCTATATGTAGCTATATGAAACTTAGCCACGTTTGGGATAGTGTTCTCGCCGCAAAAACGCCACCTACATCGGCTACATATAGCGGCGAGATGCAGTACTCCAGTCAGAAGCTCTGAAGAAGGTGTCTGAGAGACACCGAAACGTCAGCGAGGTGAGACTCTTTGGTTGTGTAAAAAGAATTCCCTTATCTCTTAAGTTTTACCAACCTGATGAAACTATTTTCGGGAATATAATAGGATTGTTGATTACTGTTATACATAAGATAACATATCAAAGGATATGAGAAAAAAACTTGCTGACTGTGTAAGCAGAGAAATATGAACAACTCATTGCACAAAACATCACAATAAAAGACCTTGATGTTTCTCTTCTCAGCAACCTCTACATCAGAGCTGGGAGGTCTGGACAACAAAGTGGGAGGAAACTGTCGCAACGGCATGAGACTCAAGATTACAGGTAAACATCAGAAACATGAAGTTTCATGAGTAAAGAGACTCTTTTTACACAACCAAGTCTTTTATTCAGCCGATGTTTCAGTGACCATCTGTCACCTTCCTTAGGGCAAGCAACACCTGTAGCAGCCACACCTGTGCTGCGGTGCAATGTGAACCAGTCAGAATTGCCCTGAGGAAGATGAGAGACGGTCACCGAAACATCAGCTGAATAAAAGACTTTTGTTGTGTAAAAAGAGTCTCTTTACTCAGTGTCTTACCAACCTGATGAAACTATTCACGGATGAAGTTTCATGGAACTCTTACACTGTTATTTATAATATTTTGTAGTTCTAAAGCCTTGTAGTATTGTTGCTTCATAGTTATGTTTACCCAAGGAAAGCATATTGTTTTTGCTCTGTTTCCTCTTCTTCTTCTCCAAACCAATAAGGTCAATGACCAGAGGTCTGTCACCATGGTAACTGGTGTTGGGTTACATCATGCAATTTTATAGCAGGAGGGATTTAGACTCCTGTCTGACCATATATATGAATGTGTTTGAGTAAGAATTAACAGAGCAGACCAAATGCGAAGGTAAACATTATGCATTTGCCCTGTCTAGTTACTACTAAGTAATTGTTGCCATACATACTTGAAACTTTCCACTTGAAATATTAAAAATGCATTTTTTTCTTTGTACAATTTTCTTGTTATAAACAATACTTTTTGTATTTTGGATTTTATTAGACTAACTGTAAGAAGCTAATCTTTCCTTAGAAAAGTAAAGAAGACGTTTTTCAAATGGTGGTTTGAAAGTGGAAGATAGGTACACCTGTGGCACTTTTAGCAACTGTTGATTTCTTGTTGTTGTTGTTTTTACAGTGAATCAACAAACAAACATCATTCCCCCAGTGGAGAATACGTCAGAGTCCAGTCACTATGTGGTGGACCTCACACCCAACTCCATACCCAGAGAAGGTAAGCAAACATTACAACAAACAAACAAACAAACAAACAAAACATTTCCTCAGTGGAAAGAATTGCCATAAAATCTACAAACAAAAAATAAAACAGATTGAAATATAATTGTCCAGAAATCAGAATATTCAATCAAATAAACCCAGAGAAGGTAAGCAAGTATTACAACAAACAAACAAACAAAACAAAAAAATCCTCAGTGGAATGGTGGTGGATATAGTAATAATCAAATGATGCTATCCCTGTATTTGATTGTATTGGAAAGAATTGCCATAGAATCTACAAACAAAAAATAAAACAATTGAAATAATTGTCCAGAAATCAGAATATTCAATCAAATAAACAAACAAGCAAACAAAAAATTCTCAGTGGAAAGGTGGCCCTGTATTTGATTGTATTGAATTAAATTAAATTGCCATAAAATCTACAAGCAAAAAACAGATTGAAATATAATTTCCCAGAAATCAGAAAATTCAAAGTCAATATCCTCACACACCTGTTTGTTGCCAGATGTTGTATTGTGTCCTGTAGTGTCTTTTTATTTTACAACATACTTTGTACCATTTTTCATCCTTTAAACCAGCCACAAATTCAAGTTCAACCAACTGTATATTGTGGCTTGTCTGAAAGGCAATATATATGCCATCCAGTGGACCACAGAAAAGACAAAGCTTGTTGAGATAGTGTGCCAGACTTTGAAATACGATTTCCCCACCATGCTCTTGGCATGACATGGCAGTAACTTGTTAGGCCTAACGGTAATTCTAAAAAAGAACTAATCCAATTGGCTTGGCCTTTGGCTACATTTCCGTCAACTGGCCACCGTTGATATACAGCCTCTAGTGTTTCATTTGACGAAAGCTGCAATCCCCGTGACTTCCACTTTGAACTTCCTGCAAATTAGTCCAAGATACATCGTCCAATTCTGCCGGCGGGGATGTGAGTTGTGGGGGGCCTACGGTAGTGTTCATTACACTGTGGTTTTGTCAAAGTGAAGAGTATGGGAGCTTGCTGTCGGCTCATATGTCTTGTCTTCTCCTCAACCACATCAAAGTCAAGCTGACCCTTCCGCCAACCGGGTTAGAAGACTCTGTATGGTGACGGATGAAAGATGGGGTTTTCCTCACACCATTAGGCTGAGTAAGGCAGGCGGGTCATTACCCACCGACGAGGAAGCCGGAAATAGTTTCGTTTTTAATTGAATGGAACTTTTGCAAGGTCTTTTCGGGCTACAAATAAAAGACTGATGCTTGCAAAAACATCTAGAACATCTTCCTTGCCCAAACTTCTTTTCTGTACTCAAATAATCTTAGAATTTTTCAGTCCAAGAAGCCAGGAATAGTTTCCTTTTTAATTGAATGGAACTTTTGCAAGGTCTTTTCAGGCTAAAAAAAAGAAAGACTGATGCTTGCAAAAGCATCTAGAACATCTTCCTTGCCCAAACTTCTTTCCTGTACTCAAATAATCTTAGAAATTTTCAGTCCAAGATGCCAGGAATAGTTTCATTTTTAATTGAATGGAACTTTTGCAAGGTCTTTTTGGGCTACAAATAAAAGAAAGACTGATGCTTGGCAAAAACATAATTTAGAACGTCTTCCTTACCCATACTTGTCTTCTTTTCTGTACCCAAATGATCTTTTGATTTTTCAGTTCAAGAAGCCAGGAATAGTTTCATTTTTAATTGAATGGAACTTTTGCAAGGTCTTTTTGGGCTACAAATAAAAGAAAGACTGATGCTTGGCAAAAACATAATTTAGAACATCTTCCTTACCCATACTTGTCTTCTTTTCTGTACTCAAATAATCTTAGAATTTTTCAGTCCAAGAAGCCAGAAAAAGTTTCCTTTTTAATTGAATGGAACTTTTGCTAGGTCTTTTCGGGCTACAAATAAAAGAAAGACTGATGCTTGGCAAAAACATTAGAACATCTTCCTTACTTGTCTTCTTTTTTGTACCCAAACGATCTTAGGATTTTTCAGTTCAAGAAGAATTTGTGTGGTACCAGGGGCTATTTTGCCACGGAAAAACTATTCTGTTGGACGCACAAGTAACGAAAGAAAAAATGTCCTATATTTACATGGCAAAGTAGCTCCAACAGTTGAAGAAAGTTTTTGTTTTCCTTTAGTTAGCAGTTACAGTTCTCCCATATCATCAGTGTCTTAAAGTTCAAAATTCATTGTTTGATACTCAAATCCAGCCTGGCTGGTATGTTGTTTTTGTGCCTCCTGTGGCAGCATTTACATGAAAGATGCATGTTTCTTTTGTTTACTATAAATAATAACTTTTTTTATTGCAAACTGTTGCCTAGAGGCTAATTGCAAGCACAGTAAAGAACATTTACTCATACTCACTACCCGGTTTATTGTCTGTTGTTTCCCGACTTCTGAGGACGTATTTGATTAAGAAAAATAAAGAAATATAAACTGGTTACAATAATCCATTCATTTCACTTTCATTTTGCCCAGCCTCTTCATTATTTTCTGGCAAAAATCCATGAACCAGGAAATTAGTTTGGTACGGTCCTGTAGCAGTATTCAGCCAGCCCTGCTGTAAGGCCTAGGAAAAAATGTTGTGTTTCCTGTTTCCCCGACCGACCCTAGAAAAAACTGCCAACCCTAGTCTTTTTTGGGGTTGGACCACTGCAAGGGACATAAATTTTTCAAGCTGATCAACCTTTCCTAGCTCCATGATCTGACACCTGAGTGATTGTACAATCAGTTTTCCAACATTGAAAATATGAGTGTCCTCATGCAAGTTTTACTTTCTTCAACTGTATTATATAGGCTGGATCACTATAGATTGCCAAAGTCTAATAAAAAAGAAAAGAAAGATAATCCCTGCCTACCAACCCTATTATTTTCAGGACTGAAACAGGAAACACAAATTTTTTTTCCTAGGCCTAACAGAAGGCATGAGTTACAGTAAGGTACTGGAAGCGAAGCCGGCAGAGAGAGCCGCATAATCAAGAAAGGAAAGAAAAAAAGATAATCCCTACCTACCTACCATATTATTTTCAGCACTGAAGCAGGAAACACAACATTTTTTTTCCTAGGCCTAACACGTACAGAAGGCATGAGTTACAGTATAGGTACTGGAAGCGAAGCCACCAGAGAGCCTCATAATCCAGGAATCTATCATGTTAGTCTAACCCCTCCGGTAGTCCCACAAGTCAACGATAAGGTCTTTCCCCCTCCGTCAGGACAATAGTCCGATCCATCAGTGACAAACTTTCCCGGAAGATCGTGGAAAGATGAGCTACAGAAGCAATCTTTGACGGAATAGAGTTCTATATCACAAGAACTTGGAGGAGTTCAGGATGGCATATGGTTGCATCAGAGCTTCTTTTTTTCCCTGTTGGCTTGGTAATCTTGATAAATTTCTTATAGCACAATGGTAAAGGCTAGGAAGTCAGCAACTTGTGTAGGAGATAAATTACTGGGAGAGGGGTGGATAGAGTTTGTTAGTTTTTGTTTGTGTCTTTCTGGAGTTGTATGGAAGATAATAAATAGGTTAATTCATTTGGTATTTTGCATAAGATGTGACTGCATGAAATAGCATATTTTCAAATCTTCTGTAATCTTTTTATTACCTTGAATACATGTTTCAGACATGTATTTAATGCAATTCTAATCCAAAGCTCTATATATTCTGTTTTGAGTGAAATTGACCAGAATTTGACATATTTTTCATGTATGATACAAGACTACCTTTATATCACTTATTGATTTATACAATTATAGTGTAAAAGAATGCACAGTTAAAACAAAAAAAGACTCACCTATAAATGTGATGGTACGGTCTGTAACACCATACTATTAATATGTATTTCAGACACACCAGATCCTGGTGGAGGGGGGAGCAGCACCCAGGCTAACAGGCCAACTGATGAGCTTCTGCGTCCGCCTGATGCCAACGCTGGGACAAGATTAAGACTAGACGTGACCGCGGCGGCCATTTTCACCAGTCTCCAACTTATTTTCTGCTTATAGTCAAGTTCCAAAATGTGAATAGTTTATTCAAACAATGTATTCAAGCTTCTAAAAGGTCCTCAAAGGACATTCGAAATGGCTTTGTATGTAGGAAGCCATTCAAGCTATGATTAAGAATTAAGCTTTTCATGTGGTGTCTTATGAAAGAAAATTTTTTTCTTCACTTTTAAAAGAAGTATAAACCTGGCAGTGAGCTTAGCGCAGGCAAAAAACGTGCCAATTTGTTGTATATTGACAAAATTGTGAAAATACTTACATTAGGCCACACCAATTTAATTTGTTGGTTCTCGGATTCGCCTCTTCGTTTTTTTCTGATTTGCAAAAAAAAAAAAAAAAATTTATTCTGGTCCTGAATCAACTGAAAAATGCTCATGTTTTGCCCCCAACAGTTGAGGAAAGTCCTTTTCTTCCTAGTTGTTACAGTTTTCCCATCTATCATTGCAGTGGTTTGATTAAAAGTTCAAAATTCAATGTTTAAATTTTAACCCAGCCTTTTGTGTTGACTTCATGGCTCATTCCATAGCATTAAAGCCTATAATAGGATGCCTAGACCTGTTTTTATTTTTTATTTTTTTCGCCCTGTCGCTTCATATTTTTTCTGAAAAAATCTGAGAACCAACAAATTAAATTGGTGTGGCCTTACCTTATCCCACTAACTTCTCAGTCACAGGAGCTTTTGAAAATGTTTTCAGTACTATCATGTATTGGTGATTAGATTGGGTGTGTTGTGGCCTTGGGCATTTTGAGACTGTGACGGTTAAATCAGTTTCAGTACATTTGACAGTTGTTTCAGTGCTATACATCGACCATGGACAGCTGTATCAGTAATTTGGACAGCTGTAGCTGTTTCAATGACTTTGACAGCTTTTCCTGTACCATAGATAGCTGTTTCAGTACCATGGACAGTTATGGCTGTTTCAGTGACTTGAACTGCTGCCGCAGTACATAGACAGCTGTTTAAGTACCTGGACAATTACAGCTGTTTCAGTACATAGACAGCTGTTTCAGTACCATGGACAGTTATGACTGTTTCAGTAACTTGGACAGATGTTTACTACCATGGACAGTTACAGCTGTTTCAGTACCAAGGACAGTTACAGCTGTTTCAGTAACTTGAACAGCTGCTGCTGTTTCAATAACTTTGACAACTGTTTTAATACCATAGACAGCTTTTTCAGTACCATGGACAATTACAGCTATTTCAGTACCATGGACAGTTATAGCTGTTTGATTATTTTGGACAGCTGCAGCTGTTTCAATAATTTTGACAGCTATTTCGATTACTTTGACAACTGTATCAGTACATAGATGGCTGTTTCTGTACATAAATAGCTGTTTCAGTACCATGGACAGCTATTTTCGTACTATAGGGACAGCTGTCTCAGTACTGTAGATGGCTGTTTTGGTACTAGAGACAGTTATTTCACTACCATGAACAGCTCCTACATTGGTGAGTAACACATTTTTGCTTCTAGGTTGTTCTAGAGAACAGCCAAGCCTGCAATGCTGTTCAGAACACTATGATAGTCTTGGGACAGCATCCTGTGTTTTAGCATCTGTGACAGCTCTCTGACAGCTCTTGTATATAAATACTTAGAAAAAAAACCTTGCACCAATTCATGTAACCGGCTATGACATTGCTTCTTTTTGAGAGGTCAAAAATATGGCAGAATCAAAGGGACAGTCATCTTGAGCAAACAATTCACCAGGGCACATATGGTGTATATGGAGGAATTCATTTCATAGTGAAATTGTAATTTCAGCCTCTATGTGGTACATTGCACAAAGAGTTACTCATTTCAATTGTTTGTCAATTTATTACTAAGATAAGAAACCTCATTATGAAATTTCCACATTAAATTAGTGGAAACTCAAGATATTCATATAACAGTGCATTGTACAAGAATCCTCTATTCTAATTGGTTGCCAAGTGGGCTATATTTTCAGCAATGCTCGGTATTTAACAGAATTAACTCCAAATAAGATTATGGTTGTTCTTTTAAATAACTGCTTACAACAAATTCACAAGCTACTAAGTAGATTCTTTGGTGACTGTTTCTTGGTGAATTTTTATGATATTAGAAATTGTACATTATCTGTGGCCTGCAGAAAACTATAGTCAGAAATAACTGTGCCTCAATGCAGTGGCAAGGTGTGTGTATCTGGAGAAACGTTGTACAGTTTTTGGTGTTGTTGGTTCTCAACATTCTGCTGCCCTTGTTGTAATAAGGCCACACTGGTTTGATTTTATGGATGACATCTGCACGTGCATTGATTTTCGCCTGTTCTCAAAGAAAAAACATGTCCTCCAAGGCTCTGGCCTGGGTGCCATCCTCCGTAGTCCATGGTAGCTAGTGACAGTAGGGAGCCGGCATTAACTTCGGAGGACGGCACCCAGGCTGCCGACGCTCCATGACTCAAGAACTCAGTACATGCATAAAGTGCTGATTCATGAATTCCGCAAAAAGCCAGCATATGCCAGCTTGTGGTATATGTCGCTATGTACTACTGCAAATTCACAATACCAGCTTTGTATTCCTGTGGTTTAGCAGTATTTTTATTTTTGGCCGGATTTTTTTCTTTCACCCGCTCACACTAGTTTAGGGGTCTTCAGAGGATGTCATCCATAAAATTAAGTCAGTGTGGCCTAATGTATAATAGAACACTAGCTAAGGGTATACTTCTGCACCTGCCAATGTTAATATAGAGGGGGCTTTGATGGTGGGGGGGTTGACAAACTTGTCCAAGTAGAGTTTGTTAGGCAGAAAACAAGATAGAATCTGCTTTGAACCAAGGACTCAACTCTAAGTTGTTAATTGGAAAATGCATAACCTTGAACTGAATGACCTTGGACCTAACGACATTCCCCGTTAGTCTCAGCACTAATTACTCGCTAATTACTTTATTGTACAGTGGGGGAGTGAACTGACCATGCATTAATGTGCATCTACAGCAGTGGAAAGACTATTAGGACTTCACTATCTTTATATAGATTATGTTTTTGCCTTGTAAGGCAGGTCTGTAATGTACAAATGTAAGGCCACACCAATTTAATTTGTTGGTTCTCGGATTTGCCTCATTTTTTTGTGATTTGCAAAAAAAAAAAAAGATTCTGCTTCTGAATCAAATCAAAAATATTCATATTTTGTCCCCAACAGTTCAGGAAGGTCCTTTTCCTCCTACCTTTTACTGTTTTTCCATCTATCAATGCAGTGGTTTGATTAAGAGTTCAAAATTCATTATTTAGATATAGACCCAGCCCTTTGTGTTGACTTCATGGCTCCTATCATAGCATTTGGGCTATAAGAGGATGCCTGGACCTGTTTTTATTTTTATTTTTGCCCTGTCCATATTTTTTCTGAAAAAATCCGAGAACCAACAAATTATATTGGTGTGGCCTAAGGATGGCCTCTTGTGTGTGTGTGTGACTAAAAGGGAGGTATACATACTGGTAAGCCTTGTGTCCTATAATGACAAAAAAATCAGACTAGCCCTGAGTTACAGTTAAATTTATTAATAAAAGCATAAAAGAATTATATGTGCAGATTTATGCAATAAAATGTGATGGTTATGACTCTGTAAAAAGTTATTAAGGGTCATGGATATATTTTGATAATTGAACAGCTGTGAACAAGGAGCTTCTATTTGAAGTTGGTGAAAAAGCCACTAGATTTGGTAATAACAAGTTAATAAGTTAATCTATAAAGTTAATGGGTTAAGCTATAACATTGTAGGTCATATCAACTTGCTTTCCTGAACTATTAAATCACTGGCAACATTGAATGTGCCATATTGATACTAGAACAATAATGTACTCTCTAACAATTGGTAGTGGAGTTTATTTCACGCTATTTTGAATAGAAAATTAGAGTATTTTTTCTGTTCGGTAAAAGTATGATTGTGGATTTTGAAGCAATTAATGTCATGTGTGTATATTATCATGTAAGTTGAAAGAAATTTCAATAGTTTGATATTTGTATCTAAGAACACATTATGTATTTAGTTCTGTAGTATGAAACATAATATGTAGTACCATAGTGTTATATGGTAGTTCCATAATATGCCAAAACAGCTTTTCATTGCTTTTGGGAGATGTGAAAGCAACACTACTGGTAGCTGATTTGGAGTTTTCAATGTTGTATTTTGTTGGCAAAACATCAGAGTCATATTTTGTATGCTTATTTTGCCTGTTCATGCAAATTTACTTCATTGGTTTTCAATATTCAAGACTATTGTACAAACTGTGTAACTGATTGTGTATCAAATATTGATTTGTTTTGGTTTTTATGATATTTGGAATCTTAGAAGAAAGCAGCCTTTTTGAAAGATGTTGTGAAATTACATGTAATGTGTGGAAAGTAGTATCAGTGAAATTTTTCAATGCTTAAAGCTATTTTTAACATTGAAATGGTTGAGTATGAAAATTGTGGCTTGTGTCTGAGCTTCATTGCCAAGATCATTTGAGTTATCCCAATGTTACAAAATTTTCAAGGAATTAAGGACTCGAAAATTGAAACACAAACTCAAACACTCAAACATAGAAATATTAACACAATGTATAGCAGGACCCAAGATGAAAGAACTTTGCAGTTTGACCATTTTGTATTTGAAAATCAAAAGGAATGAAATAACTCTGTGGCTGTGAGAATTGACCGATCCCACATCTTCATTTCTTTACATTCTCGTCTTTTTCGTTTGATTTTGGCATTCTACGACATTGGTATCGTTTCCCGATATTTTTTTTTGCAACTTACGGTACGATATATTTTCTTCTTTTGCAACTGTTTTGTACCATTTACAGTATGGTTAAAAACTTCTTTTTTTTTTTTTTTTGGAAACAGCCAAAAATTCATCCATATAATCATATCAACATGCCCTATTGTGATTGACGGTCAGGATCGGTCTATTCCTGACTGCTGAGTTTTGCGCAGTTGTTTTCCATGATTATTGGACGTGTTTACTTGTTTGTGTTGTCACGGGTGATGTAAATAAACGGCAGAAAATGGAGGCCAATATTCGGTGTTGATTGTTATTTGAAACAAAAACATTAAAATATTGAATCGCCATTCTGCAGGGCTCATTGTCTTTTTTGTGTTTGACTGAATACTTTTAGACAATTAAGATATTTCTTACCAATGATTATGTTCAGTCTTTTTATGACCCACTCTGCTAATTATTTCTCTAGGATCAGTAAAGTTACATCATAAGTGCAACTTCCACCACTAATTAGTTAAATCATCTGAATAAATTATGATAA